AAGGCAATGTGCTCAACATTGCTGCATTGGCCTCTTAAGGCTCTGAACACAAACACAAAGGGAGTAAACTCCAAGTACACACCAAATCAACCTTCAATATTGATCTAATCTGCTTCAATTCCAATGGTAAACATGGTAAATGCCACCAAACTAAACTTTGAACAGTCTAAAACCATTATCTTCATGATGATAGACCCAATTTTGGCTCAAACTAATAAAATATATATATAAAGATGCTTATACTCAATAGAAAATTCAAACAATAATGCAGTTTGTTCCTTTTCAATAGAAATGTGGGCCATAGTGGCATCATCACATAATTGTGTTACTCTTAACAAAACACCATCCCAAAGCTAAATTATAATTTAACTTGGTCAAGAATAAGAAATCAATATTGAGGGAAAAAAAATTAATTAATAAAATAAAACCTGAGCTCCAAACAAGGAGATACAGATCAGACCCATCCATGAGTGCAAGCTGAAGAAATTAGCCACAATCCCATCTTCTCCATGAAACTTTGTCCATATCCCAAAAACCCCAGATGCCAAAGCCACACCTTGAAGACACAAGTGCACTGATTTCTTAAAATTTCTCGAACCAGGCAACCAACTGTGCACCAAAATCGCTGAAAACACAAAAATCAATCAAAACCCAGTTTTTAAAATCACTTCCATGTTCCAGAAAAACAACATCTGCCTCTAGAATTGTAATTTCTAGATTGTGTCACTACCTTCTCCGCTTATGAGAATGAACCCAATCACCATAAATAAAGGATGAAGCACCTGTCAAATAGGAGAGAAACAAAAAAACCCATCATTTTTAACTCAAATGCAAATGCATTCCCTCACATATGCATGTAGAGAGAGAGAGAGAGAGAGATTTACAGCGTAGATGAGGTCTTCTTGGGAGTGAGAGTGAGGGAGGAAGCTAGTTTTGAAGTGTAGAGCCCAAATGAGGACAAGTACTGCGACTGTGAGAGCTGAGATTCTGGCAAATAGGAGAAGAGAGAGTGCTGAAGTTGAGACTTTGGCCATTGTCTGTACGGCAGACTCAGTAGTCGTACTCAAGACTGTCTCAGCTCTCTGAAAGTGGGTAATGGGTAGTGGGTAAGGCTGTGAGTACTTACCCCAAAAAGGTTAGTGACCGACACAGTTGTAAATCCATTATTGTATTTAAAAACTATGGAGTGAAGCTAAAGAGAAGTCTTCAAATCTGGGGACCGGTTTGTTTCGAACGTAAAATTTAGGTGGTATAAAATTTTATATATATTTTATTTTAATTTAATAATATATTATATTCGGTGTTAAAATATAATCTTAACTTTTTTTTATTTGTTTATCATAAATATTATCTGTGTAATACTTATTAAAAAAGTCAATAATTACGATTAACCAATGTAAAAAATAATTTTAACCTTTAAAAAATTAAAAATTACGGTTAAACTTTTATATGAGAATTGTACCGGAAGATATTTCGATCTTTTTAGTTTATAATACCTATGCTAAGAATATAATACCACCCCTTAGGTGATATTCATTAAGACCTTCTACAAGGCATTATGACTACTGTTCATAGCGGGTCGATATTACGACTCGAAAAATAGTACTGACTATAAAATATCAAACAAACAACATATAAAATGGGTCTCACGTACTATTTTCCTAATATCACATTCTCTACCACTCTAATACTCAAAACAAACGGCCCGTTGAAGTACTGAAAAAGCGAGGTAAAATAAAGGAATAAATTATGGGGTTAATTATAAATTATATCCAAAAGATTTTTGAATTTTAATTTACACTTTTGTAGATAAAAATTTTTAATTTATACCCTCAAATATATAAATTTACATTAGTACACATGGAACTAACTGCCATAAGTATAAAACTAGTTGGATAAGTTATTCCTAGACCCTCTCAAATTTGTCACTTAATTACTTGGACCTCATCACATTTAGAATAATACTCTTAAACCTCGTAACGTTTGTCCACGTGTAACACATAATCTCTTGTTATTGATATCTGTTTATATAATCGTTAACAAATATGATTTCATTATAATAAAAAAATATAATTTTTATACTACCTTTTATTTGTAGGTTTGTTATACTCTAAAATTTAAAATCAAGTTTATCATTTGAATACCCAATATAATGCAGGTATTTATATAATATTCTTTATATTTAATGCAAAACATCATTTGAACATAATTATTTGCATACTCAATTAGAGGAACATTTTTAGTCATATTTGAATTCTCAGGAATGTAAGTATAATATTTTAAATGTGAGGGGTTTAGGTGATTAAGTGACAAGCATAAGGGTCTAGGTATAATTTATCCATTTAATTTTAGATTAACCGCTGTTAACTTCAAGTGTGCATTGATACAGATTTATATATTTGAAAGTGTAAATTGAGTTTTTTTTGTTTTTTTGAGGGTGCATATTGAAGTTCAAATGATCTTTTGAAGTACAATTTGTGATTAGCCTTAAATTACAAAAATTGCCCCTAATATTTGCATCAATTATATTTAGGATCGATCTTGGCGTAACGGTAAGGTTATTGTGACATAGAGGTCACGAGTTTAAATCATAAAAATAACATCTTTGTTTACAGAGGTAAGACTGTATACATCTAACCCTCCACATACCCTACAATGACAAGAGCCTTATGTATGCCCTTTATTATATTTATGGTAAGAGATTCTCACCCTATAATTCTCCGTTCTCACCCGTTAAATTCTTAATTACAAAATTACCAAGTCCAACTCATCTATACTTATCTCATTAGTAATTAAGTTCACTACAATCTATATTCATTTCATTAATAACTAAATTCATCTCAATCTTTACCTTTTTTTTATATTTCATCTAATACATCTTACACAACAATATATTCTACTTTACTATCTAGTATAAATCTCTCAAGCTATATTCAAGTTGGTATTTGGTTTCAAATTAATTTTTTTTTTGCATGTATTTTTTTTAGGGCAAAATCCAATTTACCCCTTGTGGTTTGATCGTTTTACATATCACCTCCTTTTGTGTTTTTGGACTAAAGTGCGACTGTTACTATTTTCTGTCAAAAGTGACAGAAATTATAACACGCGCTAGATTTGCAAATATGGATGTAAAAAATTTAAGTCAGAGTCAAAGCTCAATCTATAAGTCCAAATATATTCTTGTGATCCTTCTAAAAGACATTTTTTTTATCTTCTTCTATATTTTACTGTTAAAAAAAATAAGATAAAAGAAAAAAACCAGCTCCTCTGCATCGCCACTCATCAACGCCCTCACCTATGGCCAAAACCCTCACCCTTGACAACCCAATCCCTCTGCATTTTCAATAACAAAGTGGGTCACAACGAAAAAGAAATTCTCTGTGTAATGATTTGCAGTGACAAAAAGAGTTAGCAAAGAAAAAATATAGAAGAAGAAGAAGACCAGATCACAGCGAAAAAGACAATGCAGAAGGATCAACTTAGCGAACTAAGTCAGTAACGACGAAGAAGGTGATACAAGTTAGTCTCGCCTCTCACCTCCTCCTCTCCCTCTCTTGTAATTGTTTTTGTGATTTTTGGTGGTTTTCGATGGGGATTTTTCAGTGGGTTTGGGGTTGGGTTTCAGGGGGTTGGGGGTGGGTTTCAGAGGCTGTTGAGGGTGGGTCTTCGGGGCTGTTGGGAGTGGGTTTTCAAGGGTTTGGGGTGGGTTTTCAGGAGGTTAAGGATGGGTTTCAGGTGTGGCGTGGGGGGTTTCAGGGGTGTTTGGGGTGGGTTTTCGGTGTGGTGCGGGGGTTCCAAGGGGTGTTGGGGTTGGTTTTCTATGGGGTTTGGGGGTGGGGGTTTCGATGGTGTTGGTTTGTTGTTGGTGGGGGTGGGTTTTCGGTATGGGTGGTTGGTGGTGGATTTGTGGTGGGGTCAGGTGATTGTTGGTGGTGTGTTGGGGTTGGTTTTCCATGGGGTTTGGGGGTGGGGATTTTGGTGGTATTGGGTTGTTGTTGGTGGGGGTTTTCAGTATGGGAGGTTGGTGGTGGTGGGTGGTGGATTGCACAGGGTTTGGGGTGGGTTTGTGGTGGGGTCAGGTGGTTGTAGGTGGTGGAATTAAGTGGTGTTAAGTAGTTGATTTTGGGTAAAAAATCAAATATTTTTTTTATTTTTATTTTTTATAATTTTTTAAATTCAAATAACTATCAAACAGTAGGGTTGGAGAAGATGCAGTGACAAAGTTTATTCAGATTTTAAGAAGGCAAGGTGATCTTTTTGCCACTACCGTTAACGGTGTTAGCTATGTATTTTGATTCAAAAACACAAGGGGGTTATGTGCTGATTTTTAAATCACAAGGAGGTGATGTGCAAAACGACCAAATCACAAGGGGGTAAACTGAATTTTCATTTAAAGGCTATACATAAAATATATAGGGTTAAATATATGTGTATACGTGAATATACAAATATACAAACTTAACTTATTGTTTTTTTTTTTGAAGAAAAGTGCAAATAAAATGATTAGAATATAAAAAGTATTTGAGTAAAGGCTCATTCGGTTTTTCTTTTTTAACATTCAAACAAGATCTTTTTTTTTTTAGTTTGTGATTTAGTCATTGGTATCCTGACTACTTCTAGATGTAATTAAGAAGAATCATTTTACGACTTTGGTATTTTAGTGAAATATTAAATAAAGTGAGTTTAGTCATTAAAGGAGTGGATAAAGAAATATGGTAAATTTTGTCAATAGTGAAGTGAGGATAATAGGATAGACGTATTAGTTTTATAATTGAGAGTTTAATGAAGGTACAAAATAATATTTGTGAGGTGAAATAACTCTGCTCTTATATTTATCGCCTTTGATCTAAAAAATTACCAAACACCTAATTATTTTTCAAATCAATTTCCAGCCAAACCACTCATTTAGTTAACGTATAGTCTCTCTAAAGATAGTGTCTTCATATGTGTATAAAGGTCGGGGGTGGTGGAAAGGGGTACAGGGGAGACTGATTTGTTGGGCGTTCAACAGATGTTCAATGGGAGTGGTGGGAAGGGGTCCTTGTAGAGTAAGTTATGGTCAAGTGTTGGAATAAAAGTTTTAATTGAGACGAGTTACCTGAATTTAGTTTGGGTTCAATTTGGATAAGATTCGGCTCAAACTCGAGTTTATATTCTAAACGAGTTAAGTTTGAATAATTTTTTAGGCTCATTTATTCAACTCGCAAAGTTCGAGTCATTTATATATAAAATAATCAGGCTTGGCTTGAGTTCTAAACAACCCGAGTTTAAACAATTTTTAAGACTCGTTTAAAAAAACAAGCTCAATAAGTTTGGATTCAAGTTCACAAAGTTTTGATGATGCACAATTGGTCTCGTACAAGATCAACAGTCGAATATATGAAGAGGTGAAATTAATGAATAGTAAATAAAGCAATTAATGACAAAACAGTAAATATAAATTAATACACAGATTTATAGTGGTTCGGTTTGAGTGACCTACTCCACTCTCGAAAAACAACAGCAGTAGCGGGAGGTCTTTATTTATGAATAAAGTAACTGGGAGAGTTACATTAGTTAGGAGAGAGAAGCTATGTGTGTAGGGGGTGTAGAGAGGTGTCTTGGAAGGGATCTCATCATGTGGAGAAAGCTTATAATACATAGGTTTGGTGAGACGGTGAGGTAAGCATGAGGGTACTATTTCCTCGAAGATGATAGTTACAAAAGATAAATCAAATTGATAAAGCCAGCGTGAGTTGCCTTCTAGCTGACTTGAGCTTGCTTGATTCATTGGGTCTGGCCTAACTAGATCTGAACTCGTCAAGTTCGACTCGATTAACATCATTGTTGGAACATAGAGGGATGGATAGAAATATAGAGAAGATTTTGAATTTGTTCGAGTTGGATTTGGATTCAACCTTAGCAGTTGGATATTGATTGGGTTGGATTTTATTTCTTCTTGATTAAAGGTTAAGGAGGTCTTTAATCTAGGGTTGATGTAATCTTCAAACCTTACGGGATGAAATCTAATAATTATAGACTTTGCGGGTGGTTGGCGCAATTAATCCAAAGAAAATAAAACAATTCCATTCCTAATACTATCTTTGGAAATAATCCAAGTGGATGGTGTTTGATAGTTTCGAGTCATTACTCATTAATGTATTGATGATAATGACATCAAACACTCTCACTTCCTATAACTTGATCAAACCGAGCATTCATGGCTCAACCTCGGCCGTTAAATACTTTTTTTCGATGCTTCACATTTACGCCCGAGAATTCACTATTCGGGAACAAACACCCTCGAGGTTGGCCGAGAATTTCATGTTGGCGTAATAGTCATTAAAGCCTCTTAACGATGACTATCTCCACATTTTTTGAGAATCTAAGAACTTATTAATGGTTTTGCTATAGTCACTCAAGACCCACATTAATGAGTTGTCAGATCTTTTTTCATACTAGGCTCTTTTTTCATACTAGGCTCTGAGAGGCACACTCAACCCTTTCTAACTTAATTTTTCGACGCCTTTCTTAGGTGCGCTTTACACGCCCTAACAACTATTACTATTCACGTATTCATTCATTACTTTCAAGTCCCTTAAAGTCCCATTAATTATATAGTTCATCAATGATTGGTTTGTAACTCCACTTCATGCCTTCAAAAAAGGCCTGGTCGAGTAACGGGAAAATAGTCCTATTATGGTCCAATTGCTCTAAAGTTTTTGGGGGTAATGGGGAAAATTTTTTGGTTTATTCTAAACGAGTAGAGATACATTTATGTTTGTGAGTTCGAATAAAATTAAAAATATTCTGGATATATGAACTGATTCCTCAACTCATATATTGATTAAATCAAAATTTAAATTTCGATAAGAATTTGAACCTACACTAGAGGCACAAATACAGTTCACCTAAACAATTAAAGTCTGTTCAAACAAATAAGGCTCGTCCTATCGACCAACCACATTTTTTATGGCTTAGTAAACTTAAACTCATGATCTCAATAAGATAAATTCTTCACAAGATAAAAAGTATCATTGGATCAAAGACACGTTGATAATTACTCCAATGTTGTGTCATGTTCAAACATCATTTCTATGCTACATACGTAACTATAAGACCTAAATTCACTCTGGTATGTTTTTTTTCAAGGAATAAATATTGAAAGAACCGAACTTCTAGAATATACATATACTAAAGTTTGTCACTTTCCAGCTGTGATCACCAAAGGCCCTTGGTAAGTGATCACTTTCTAACTGCGATCCCTCTCGTTATCTTGTCTTTCTTTTCTTTTTGGTACGGTACGTGTATCTGGATTAATGTTTTTTTTTTTAATTAAAAATAAATCATTCATATGAGAATTAGGATATTCATGAGAGGTCCTCTCAATAAATTATCAATATTCAAACTTAAAACATATAAATTTATAATTTCGTTCATATTATTAGTTGAGTTAGCCTTGGTATTTTTTTTGTCTTTTCAAGAAAGTGAGTGAGTTGCACTCCCAAGAAAGCAATTGCCCCCACCGACTTTTGAGGAGTTTATCAATGTACACTTTTATGAAAAGTAAATTGTGTTCAAGTTATTATATTGTTTCCTCTTAAGTTTTTGAAAATTTGCATAATGACCCTAATTATTTTTCATTTTAGTAAATTAGTGGTTAAATCATCCCCTAATATTTTAGAATATATATTTTATTTTTTGATTGAGTAAAAGAAATGTGAAAATTTCATAAATCATATATATTAAGGAAAGACAATATCTTTGTTATATTATACACTTTCTCTTGTTTCTTTTAAAATAATTGTATAGTTATCCTTAGTAAGTTAGTCGTTCATAACCCAGCATCATCACATGAATAAATGCAAATAGTAAAATATAATAATCCAAAAATATGTGTGCCCTTTCAAAAATATAAATTTCTTAACAAGATTTAAAAAAAAAAATTGTTGAAAATTTTATTATGCAATTATTGATCAATTATAATTGTGTAAGACAACGTCGTTGTGTTCCACTTTAATATATTATGAGTTCAAATGTGTTATTAAAAAAAAATCACTCTTGTAATTTTGTTAACGCTGAATTGATTCTGCTTTAAATTTAATATAACAATTAAGTCTTAGTTCGTAAAATATTTTTTATAATTGAACTTAGGAATTTTTTAATGAATTTTTTTTTATGCATCTATAATAATTGTACAGTTATACTAATCGAATTTTGTTTATGCATCTATAATCTTGAATTATATGGTAAAATCATAACTGTAGTAATACTAATCGAAAAAATATCGTAAAATTGTGCAAACAAGTCCTAATATAAAACCTTTGTGCAAATAAAAGATGTTATACTCGTTACTTTATCGTTGAGTCATATAGTTTTTAAGAAAAATTTAATATCTTGCTAGTTATCACACCCGAACTTAGATATTCGAAACAATTTAACTAGCACAAGTGAATTATTGAAATCCAATTAATCAAAACAAATTGACTCAAAATGTAATCCATAATTAACAAATTCCAAATATATAATAAGTTGAGGTCTAGTTTTTTAATTGGTAACTGACTACTATCAAACTTTTCAGAATTTCAAGCAAACCCCATAAGTTTTTGAAATTGCAGCGGGGGCAGCTGCCCCCATTGTGGCTCCACCACTGCCCGTATATTCAACCTTCCTTGTTAGGAAATATGACTAACATGAGAAAAATGGTAGAAATTAGGGATCACAGTAGAGTAGAGAAAAACGGGAATTTGTTCAAATTTGTTTGTTTGGACTAAGGATAGATCATATGTATTAGACGATTGACGTATATAAAGATATTCGTATTAACTAGTATGGGAATGAACTAAAACTTATCCCCACCTCGCCATGCCCCCACCCAGCCCGCTCCCACCCCGCTAAACCCGATAGTTTTTTATATAATGAGGCCTACACATCGGCTCCTATAAATAGGTTTTTTAGCATAGATTTATTTTTTTTTAGTATAGATATAATTTTTTCCTCACAGATCTAGCCTTTTTTTTTAGCATAGATCTACTTTTTTTCCACATATCTAGTGTTTTTCTTCAAGATATAGGTTTTTTTTTTTTTGCATAGATCTATCTTTATATGTGAATATTTAATATGAAGGCGAGGACAGGAGCGTGGATTAGAATTTATCCATAGGACTGGAATGAGGATTAGAACTTACTCTATTAACGAGAATAGATTAGATGTGGACAGACCTTTTTAAGTGGGTACGAGACTGGAGACTACTCCCCCGCCCCCACTTCAATCTACTGTCATTCCTACTAGAAATGTGCTGAGAGAGAGAGAGAGAGAGAGAGAGAGAGAGAGAGAGAGAGAGAGAGAGAGAGGAATTTTAAAAATAATGAGAAAATTTTGGAGAGAAGAAGGCAGCAATTTAGAGGGTGGATAGCTAAAGTGACTGTACTAGAGGTAGAAGAAGTAAAGGATAGAGAAAGCACAAGATGTTATTTCATCAACCAAATCAGCAAATTTGGCTCACTTAGCATTTTACATTATCTCAAATGGGAAATACTATTTACACTTAATTTAGTGATTTAATTTGATAACATGATAGATCATAATCGTTAAATTGATAATAGGTCACAATTAATAGCAGGGTTCACTGTCAATATAATAGCAAAAAATGATAAAATTACCAAATAAAATCACTAAATAAAATTCATATAACGTTGGATGTGATATTATTGAATTGCGACTCCTTGTAATTGGCATTTAGTATCAAATGGCAGTGACAGCCTGATACATAGTAATTATGGAAAGTTTTCATACATGACAACAAAGCTAGAGGAATGTCGCATTAACAAGGACGTAGGGAATTGCTACAAACTAAGTCTGATCAGGAGTGAGGACAACTCAATATAAGCCTAGGGAAGTCTAAGTTACCAACTTAACTCTTATTTAATCACACAAGAACCAACCATTACAGCCCAACAGCAAAACGATAAAACTAACTGATTAAGCACCTGTAATCTGTCCATTAATACCCAACTTCTTGTTATTCCATAGTAAAATAATGATCAAATCAATCCCAACACTCCTTATATAAACACCCACAAATGCATAGGAAAAACTCATCAAACACAAGAACAATCTGTGGGTGTGTGTGTGTGTGTGTGAGAGAGAGAGAGAGAGAGAGAGAGAGATGGAGTTTACTTGCAAGGGCTTCAAGGTGGGAAAATGTGAAGGTGAGAAGGTGGTGGATGGTGAGACAATGCCACTAGTGCTACTACCACCACAGCCCAACATGAGTGATTTAGAGTCCCTTCTTGTAGCTCTAAAGAACCACAAAGACTGGTTTGAGCAAATGATTGTCAAGAACAGTGCTGTGCTCCTCCGTGGCTTTGATGTGAAGGACGCAGTGAACTTCAATGACATAGTCGAAGCCTTCGGCTGGGACAATAAGGGATACGTCGGGCCGGCGCTGAGGACTCATATATACAAGCGTATATGGACAGCCAATGAAGGTCCCTTTCTGAGTTTATATATTACCACCATGAAATGGTCCTGGTGAGTAGAAGTATCATGGCTTCAAGTTGTGTCTTTTTTTTTTTTTTTATGTTTAACCTTTTTTTTCCCGTAAGTAAGATGATTTCATTAACCGAAAAGTAATGTATACCCAAAAACAAGAGTGTTCAAAACTCAAACAATGTTTCACCATATTAATTATCCTGCTAATAAAGTTCCTTATATAGGTTGGTGAAATTTTTTTACATAATACATATTAATGGGCATGAATGCATGCCTATCTTGATGAAAACTGCAAGTAGTTCATCTATGTCATAGGTTTAGGGTACACAGTCGCCCCTAATTACTGCGATCCCATTTTGTGAGGAGGCACCATTCCCCCGAGGTTATGGGGTTATTTTGTCGATTCTTTGGAGAGAGTTGTCTTGAGCTACTAAACATTTTCTATCACCTTTTGTTGAAGGTCCTCTGAACTGTTACTAGAAGTCTGTCATGGATTACTTCTCAAACATTGGCCCAGAGGCATTTTCTCTACCCCTTATGATTTCAAATTCTTATGTTAATTGGTGAGATATTGTCATATCGTCATCTACTCTATGAACTTAAGCAAGTAGGAAGATTGTAACTTTAAGTATTAATACTCATCAATACGCCTCTTCACTTACGAGCTAGATTTTGAGACAAGTATGTAAAATCTTATTTGTGTTTTAATTAGCAAACAGCCATTAAGATTCAAACATAGTACATTTTATATATGCTGATATCGTATTAGACCACCATCTACCCTAGAAAACAAATGTGTGTGGTCATTGCCTTTAGGTTGGCACCATCAACATGACCATTGCAAAACATAGACCAGTCTGGTTTATCAATTAAATTAGCATATACCATAACTATCATGACTCTACTGCATTATATAACACTGAGTGGTGCAATAAGGATAGAGCATATTACGTAACTGTGTGTTTCATCATGACATCATTCATTGAGTGGAAGAGACTTCAAACATAAACTGATTGCACATCTTAACTAATCAATATTTTTTAGTAATAAAAAGTAGACGTAATGTATCATGCCTGATCAATCAATCCGGGGCCGGGCCAATAGTTTTTGAAAAAAAAAAGGATTTTAAGGAGTCCGGTATCTTTTTTAGAAATTATAGGGCAAAAAATACCACTTTTAAAAACATAGGTCAAAAAGTACACAACCCCTAATAAATCTCTAAAATACCCCATTCAGCAAAATGAGAACCGATTCCTATATTTTTGCATCTATAACCGAAATATCAGGAATATCAACTGTTACCATAAAACTTCTTCAATATCGCTGCAACCTGCATTCTTTCAAGATTGATAAGAAAACTTCCCTAAAACATCCATTCTTTTCAAAACATCATAATTCCAATGGATCCATATGATTTTATGTGATTAAAAAATCAACTCTCAATCAAAGTATCAACGGAGTCCAAATCCTTTTATTTTCGATCAAGATGACTCATCGAGATCGCAAAACTCTCTATGGACTTGAAGCACAAGGTTCCGAACATTCTCGATGTTGAGGTGGACCACAAAAAAGGGTGGTGGATTGTAGAAACCACAATGAATCTGTACATGAAAAAGGAGGGTTTTAAGAGAATTCATCGTCTTCAAGGCTTGTAAACCATGGAGGCGGGGTTCAATTAATGGGGGACAAATATGACAGTTATATAGGGATTCAGTTTCCTAATTTTATGTTATATCTTTTTTGAATATTAAATTACCTATTCATCTATAATTGAACAACCGTTTATTCAAACATTCATTCCATACATATTTCTCTATCATTCAAATCGAAAATATCTGTCAATGACACTTTCCTGCCAATCAATCTCTGTATCGTTCTAATTTAATCGGATGTCATCATACTATAAACCAAAATGCCATAGTGATACCTTCTAATGACAAGGGTACCAGCAATGACACACTATTACCATCCAAAAAATCACACTACATTTAGATAATTTTTTTTATCCATGTCTTCCCTACATTTATATAATTTTTTTTATAAATCTTAATGAAGAATATATGTTTTTACCTTATATAATACTATTGGTTGTTACGAGTTTTTTTTTTCATAAATATTTTAAATTTAAATTTAGTACAGTGATATATGTCACACTGATACAGTGATACACAACAATGTCACAGTACTACAAGCCAATGTCACACTAGAAGCGATGTCAGTGATTTTTTTATAATAGAGGAGGTGTCCTTAAAAATATAATAATCTAGAAAGAGTATAATTGAAATTTTTTCAAAAAAATCATCACACCACTTGAACCCCCCTCCATGGTCTACGAGCCTTGAAAAAGATGAATCCTCTTAGAACTCTCCATTTTCATTTACAGAATCATGATGATTTTTACAATCCATGAACCTTCTTTGTGATCCACCTCAACATGGAGAATGTTCGGAACATTGTGCTTCAAGTCTCTCTCTCTGGGCAAGAGCAGGGCGGTTATGGCGATGTCCTCTCGGATAGCTACTTCATTCTTATACGGCCTCTACTCCAACCAATTATCGCCTGATGCCAGTACAAAGACCAAGATTAACAAGATCTATTCATCATGTTTCTCTCTCTTCCAACGCCCTACAATATTCAAAATGGCTATTGCTTCTTAGTGCGGTAGAAGGGAGTCATCATCATTTAATATATTTGCTTCAGTTACAAACGCAGATCTTTGACTGGGTGAATCAATAGAAACTGCTCAGCTTCCCAAGGGTGATACCTGGTCCATTCATAAATTTGGTGGCACCTGTGCGAGAAGCTCCCAAAGAATCCAAAATGTTGCAGAGATAATTATTAAGGATGACTCAGAAAGAAAGCTGGTCGTTGTGTCTGCAATGTCAAAGGTGACAGATATGATGTATGATCTTATCTATAAAGCACAGTCACGAGATGATTCTTATCTGGCCGCACTGGATGCTGTTTTAGAAAAGCACAAGTTAACAACACTTGATCTGCTTGATGGTGATGATCTTGCTAGCTTCTTATCTCGGCTGCATCATGACATCAACAACCTTAAAGCTATGCTTCGTGCCATATACATTGCTGGTCATGCAACATAATCTTTTTCAGATTTTGTTGTAGGACATGGAGAGTTGTGGTCTGCTCATATGTTGTCGTCTCTTATCATAAAGAATGGGGTGGACTGTACTTGAATGGACACGAGAGATGTCCTTGTTTTAAATCCTACTAGCTCTAATCAAGTTGATCCGGATTATTCACAAACAGAAAAAAGACTTGAGAAGTGGTTCTCAGAAAATCCCTCCAAGACAATTATTGCTACTGGTTTCATAGCTAGCACACCTCAAAATATTCAACAACGTTGAAGAGAGATGGAAGTGACTTCTCTGCTGCTATTATGGGTGCTTTATTCAGGGCACGCCGAGTCACAATTTGAACCGATGTTGATGGTGTGTATAGTGCAGATCCTAGAAAAGTTAGTGAGGCTGTGATACTGAAGACATTGTCTTATCAAGAAGCCTGGGAAATGTCATATTTTGGGGCAAATGTTTTACATCCTCACACCATCATTCCAGTGATGCAATATGGCATTCCAATTGTTATAAGAAACATCTTCAACCTTTCTGCGCCTGGAACGATGATCTGCAAGCCTTCTGGAGAGGAAATTGAAGATGGCTGGCTGTTGGAATCTCCGGTTAAAGGATTTGCGACAATAGATAATTTGGCCCTTGTAAATGTTGAGGGAACTGGAATGCCTGGCGTTCCTGGTACATCAAGTGCTATTTTTGGTGCTGTGAAAGATGTGGGAGCTAATGTTATCATGATAACCCAGACTAGTAGTGAGCATTCTGTGTGCTTTGCTGTGCCTGAAAAGGAAGTAAAAGTTGTAGCTGAGGCTTTGGAATCTAGATTTCGCCAGGCTTTGGATGCTGACCGCCTTTCTCAGGTTGCGATTATTCCAAACTGTAGCATTTTGGCAGCAGTTGGCCAGAAAATGGCAAGCACTCCTGGAGTTAGTGCTACACTTTTCAATGCACTTGCAAAGGCTAGTATCAATGTCCGTGCAATTGCTCAAGGTTGCTCAGAGTATAATATTACTGTAGTTGTTAAACGAGAAGATTGCGTTAGGGCCTTACGAGCTGTGCACTCGAGATTTTATCTGTCACGAAATTTCTTTCTGAGTCATCCTTAATAATTATCTCTGCAACATTTTGGATTCTTTGGGAGCTTCCCACACAGGTGCCACCAAATTTATGAATGGACCAGGTATCACCCTTGGGAAGCTGAGCAGTTTCTATTGATTCACCCAGCGAAAGTTCTGCGCTTGTAACTGAAGCAAATATATTAAATGATGATGACTCCCTTCTACCGCAGTAAGAAGCAATAGCCATTTTGAAGATTGTAGGGCGTTGGAAGAGAGAGAAACATGATGAATAGATCTTGTTAATCTTGGTCTTTGTACTGCCATCAGGCGATAATGGGTTGGAGTAGAGGCCGTATAAGAATGAAGTAGCTATCCGAGACGACATCGCCATAACTGCCCTGCTCTTGTCCAGAGAGAGAGAGACTTGAACTACAAGGTTTCAAATATTCTCCATGTTGAGGTGGACTGCACCGCAAAGAAAGGTCGTGGATTATAGAAATCACCACGAGTTTATACATGAAAAGGGAGGGTTCTAAGAGAATTAATCTTCTTTAAGGCTTGTAGACCATGGAGGCGGGTTCAAGTGGTGTGATGATTTTTTTGAAAAAATTTCAGTCATACTCTTTTTAGGTTATTATATCTTTAAGGACACCTCCTCTATTATCAAAAAATCACTGACATCCCTTCTAGTATGACATTGGCTTGTATCAGTATGATATTGACTTGTAATAGTGTGACATTGTCTTGTAGCACTGTGACATTGTTGTGTATCACTGTATCAGTGTGACATATACCACTGTACTAAATTTAAATTTAAAATATTCATGAAAAAAAAAAAACTCGTAACAACCAATAGTATTATATAAGGTAAAAACATATATTCTTCATTAAGATTTATAAAAAAAATTATATAAATGTAGGGAAGACATGGATAAAAAAAATTATCTAAATGTAGTGTGACTTTTTGGATGGTAACAGTGTGAATTTTGGATGGTAACAGTGTGTCATTGCTGGTACCCTTGTCATTAGAAGGTATCACTATGACATTTTGGTTTATAGTATGATGACATCCGATTAAATTGGAACGATACAGAGATTGATTGGCAGTAAGGTGTCATTGACAGATATTTTCAATTTGAATGATAGAGGAATATGTATAGAATTTTGAATAAACGGTTATTCAATTATAAATAAATAGGTAATTTAAAATTCAAAAAAAGATATAACATAAAATTAGGAAACTGAATCCCTATATAATTGTCATATTTTTTCCCCATTAATAAAGGAAAAGGGCAATTTAGTAATAGAAAAAATTACAATTCAATAAAAGTGTACATCTTCACCAAACATTTACACATAAAGGTACTTATATACATATATTTTATATTGAGGGACTTTTATACAAATAAGTATGAAAGGGTGTACCTTTTCACAATTTTCTCAAAAAAAAATATGGATTTTGGGTCCCAAATTTTTAAAAGACCCCATAATTTTAGATACATAATTAGTACACATAAAAAAAATTAAATTCATGAAAATTTTAGGTCTTACAAAAAGGCCTCAAAAAATTTAAATCCAATCAAAAAATTGTAATTTCAATAATTTAGGTCTACAATTCAATTTATAACATTAGAAATTTAAAAATCAACAAATTTAAAAATGAAAATTGAGGGTGAGTCCCCCTATATGGATTTATAATGACATGAGTCCTAGAACAAAACTTATTTAGGGGTAAGTTCATATTTAAACTTATATGTAGATACTTAAGTTCACTTATTTTTTAATTCTCAAAATTACCCCTAATGGTGTTGGTTTTGTCCAGTTATGGAAAGTCACATAGATTAGATTATTGAAGTATATATGAAAATCCTTGATTAAGTTATATATGAAAACCATTTATTAAATATTATGATAATTAACAGAAGTTTTATATGAAAGTTATATATTCTGATAATTGTATATAGGAAGGTTAATGTACAAATAAATTGTTGGTCTATTAAGTCGAAATCAGATCACAAAATTTCTTTAACAATAATAATGCATAATATATGGAGACTGAACAAATCCAACAGAGTTCCGTTATACGAATGTTAATATATAGTAACATTCATGTTACTATATGATTGAAGTACAATTAGGATCGTACTACTAGTACAGTCGTGTTACTATACTGATATTAATGTTACTACAGTGAATTTTAACATACAATTGCAAATTTTTTTACGTATATTATGTAACATACACTTTAATATTCACAGTAACGTCAAACCTTTGTGCTCAGTAACACATCTAATTTTACAAAATACAAGACAATAATTTTTTTACAGTAACATCAACTTTTGAATAATTTTAGTGAAAATACGATTCATAAATTGAAAATTTATAAAATGATGAGTAGTAACACACAATTAACATTTAAATTATGATACTCAACACCAATTGTGAACATCAAAATATTGAAATTCTGAACTTCATTTTTTGGTTCACGTACAGTAACGTGAACTTTTTTTACAATAACACAACTAAAGAATACTCGATTGTCTTGTACAACAAAAAAAATTAACAAAATTGAAATTTGTAACACTTTAATTTAGTACTAATGTATGAGTTCTCTAGAATCTTGGTTACATAATATTTTGTCGAAGGAGTCTAAAGTAGACTGAAATAGTAAATTGAAATTGTATTTTATGAAATGTAATGGATTTGAAATTTGAATATGAATGATTTTTGGTAATTGCCAGTTTCTTGCTTTTCGGATAAGGAAACAATGTAGCTTGAAAGATTGTAGTCGGATTTGAAGGCAATTATAAAGGAGATCTATATGAGTGGTTATTGTGTCCATAAACATCGTTTATAACATTCAAATAGGAAAAGATTACAATATTAAAATTGACAAAAAAAAAACTTAAAAACAAATAAATTTTCTTGACGGACTTATTTTCAAATAAGTCTATATGAAAGAACTGACCTCCAAATTTCTCAATTTAAAAAATAAATACAAAAAAATTTAAAAATCAACTCATACTTACTCACATCTATTCTTTCTCTCTTAAAAAACAAAAATAAAGTATCACATTCTCCCCTCTCACTTTAAAAAATTAAAAATATTTTTTAACTTTTAAAAATAATACCAAAAAAAAAACCTCATTTAATATTACCGCTTTAAACTTCAAATTACCTTGAGCCGGCCTGAATCAATCACACCCAAAAAAATAAAATTCTTTGACATAATCCGGAGTTGACGGGTTTGCGTATGGAAATTAGATACCACGGCGTATCACACACTTGTCAACACTGAGCTGTAGATGGAAATTTTGTGCACTTAATACGACTAAAAAATCGAGAGTTGACAATATAATTTAACAAGAATTTACTATGTCTAACTTACCAGAAGAAGGAATATCCGAAGGAAGTGATTTTTTTCTGTGAGGTACCACCACCAGAAGGTGGACAGACGCCCATGGTGCCAAGTTTTCGGGTTACAGAACGGATGTTAGAAGAGTTTCCAGAAGCTGTGGAGGAAATGGAGAAGGAAGGCCTGAAATACACTTTGACGGCCTTCAGCAAGACTGATAGATCTTCTATGAGAGGTCGAGGTTGGGAAGATGCTTTTGGAACATCAGACCACGAAGAAGCCGAGAGAAGGTATGTAACCCTCTCTAGTTCAACTACCATTTGATAAGACGATTGATAACCGATTTCATGTTAGGGTTCGGTGATTGATCACTATGTTAATCGAGTTAGATTTGTTCTAAAGGAGTAATGAGGGTAATTAAGGTTTTATAATCAGGGTCTTTTGATTCCACCAGCAAAGACTTATCTGGATGATCTTTGAGCCCTCTCCTTTGCCCCACTATTTTTTCTCTCAACAAAAAAAAAAAAAACATGTTTTACTATTTTGTTTTTTCATCTTTTTTTTTTTTTTCTCGTTAAGTTTCATCATTGTAGTAATAAAACGATGTACTTAGTGACGAAGCTAGGTTGGCACAAATATGAATACAAAAAATTTACTGACCGATATAAACTATAAAGAATAGTTTTTATTTTGTACCTTTAAAGAATAATTTTTTACGTTGCAACCTCAATGTATCAAAAGTATTGCAATATGATCTTTTGGTTAGCTTTTTGTTAATTTTTCAATCAGGGTCAATGGATTGACTTTTGACAAAAAAAATAACGAAAGTTAACAAAATAATCACATTACAATATTTTTGATACATTGAGAGTACAATGCGAAAATTTTAATTTTTGATGGAGCAAAGTGAAAAATTTGAAATCTTTCACGGTATAAACTACGAAAAGCCCAATATATTAATAATAAAATATTACAAAAAAATATATCTAACATTATTTAACCTTACTAAGACATGGATCAAAAAAAAATAACACAATATTCATGTCATAGTGCATTCAACTCAATTCCCTATCTAAATAATGCTCGATGTCACATCATGTTCCGAAAATTATCTATTTTTGTGTAAAATTTTGCACTAATTTTCTTCTTGATGTACGTAATCAAATAACTCACCAATAAATCATCATCCATTGTATTAAAATCATATTTTTGATAATATACATAATCAAAAATAGTCCCCAAATTTAATAAGCAACACGAATCTACATGACTATTTAAATTCGACACATAACTTATGTATTTTTTAACTGGTTAAAACATATGGGTATAAGATGTAATAATATTTGTTTCTCAAGACACCAAAATGCAAAGGTCAAAGGAAAGATTAAAAAATTAAAAAGAGCATTAAGTAAAAATATCATATACTCCCTCCGTTTTTAAATATTTATAATTTTGAACAATTTTTTTTATTTTATAATATCTGCCGTTTAATGAAACCATAACATAATTAATATTTTTTCTTCTAAATTTATCCTTATCTCTGTTTTTCAATAAGTGCTTAATAGATTAAGTGTAGACTAGTATTTTTCATATTTCTTTCTTTTTCGATATGTATTGAATAAAAGTATTTTAATCTTGTATAATTATTTTTTACTCATATTAAAATTATTTAATAATTTCTTTAATTTCTGTGTAAAAATCTTAAACGACAAATATTTAAAAATTGAATGAGTAAATTTGTGTAATAAGCAAGACAAATGTCAGAGGGGGCTACCAGCCAACGTTGGCGTATGAGTGACTCCGTCACTAGGTAATCTAGTACACAAAACTCAGTGTCATTATGAATTTATTATTATTATTTTGCTAAAAGAAAGTTAACCATTATTAAGAGCGGCACAAAAGCTAGCTTCAAATGACTACGTACGGCTCATCTGGACATTTTGAGTATGTAATTGAACCTTGAACTGCAAGGAATATTGGTTGCAGGGCTAAGGCTGTAGGGATGGACATGGAATGGCTACCGGATGGTGGAGTGAAGACGATCTTAGGGCCGCGATCTCTGACCAAGGTGTTCGATGGAAGAAAAGGGCGGAGAATGTGGTTCAACATGGTGGTTGGTATGCATGGGAAGGAGCTCAGCTCGGCCACGATGGCCGATGGAACTGAGATACCAGAGGAAGTGGTGAAGAGATGTGGAGAGATAATTGAAGAAGAGAGTATCCAGTTTAAGTGGGAAAAGGGTGATGTACTCTTCCTTGATAACTTGGCTTTGCTCCATGCTAGGAGGCCCTCTCTTCCTCCTAGAAAAGTCTTGGTTGCCATATGCAACTAGCTCGGAATTGTTGGTCTTTTGCTTTGGAGTTGGCTTGTTTGAGATTCACAATAATTTAAAGTGCAACTTCTGAATAAATAAAACATAATCTTATTGTAATATTCTCATAATTGTAAAACTCTCTTCTACTGAATTACCTTTTCCTCCATAACACATGTAGTACACGTTTGGATGACAGTAATCTTAATTGCAAATAGAATATCCTGGTTTCAATTACTATAATAATTTTATATTCAGTTTTTGATTATTATCAGTAATCTAGGATGAGAATTAATGTCATTCTCAAATTGTTTTAAGAAATAATTTAATTTTAAAAAAGAGATTATTTTAGTAGGAGAACTTAATTTTTAAAATGAATTTAATTTTGGGAAAGAGTTTCACTTTAAATTTTTTATTTCTTATATAGAATACTCAATCAATGTATGTATGATATTACCATCATTGGTCATGAGTTTAAGATACCCACCATTATTAGGAATTGGATTACAGTAATAATCTTATTCTCGAAATAGATTACTGAATAATTCACTCTCCAAACATGATAAACTAAGATTTAATTACCATCATTCAAACAGGGCCTTAGATGTATTTGCGATTCTCTCAATACGTAAGAATAAGTCATAAATCTTCTGCCTACTCTTCCTTCTTCTTCTTCTTAGGTGGGAGTGTTTCTGTTAAGGGCACTACCCCCAAATCCTTCAATTTCAATATCAAATGTGACACAATTAACTGAACCCTACCCCATTAATACCCACAGTTGGGTTGAACTGTTCACCCATTAAAACGGTAGGTGAACTGAATTCAAAACATCATGTCAGAACTCTCTAAAATAAAAATCTTATCATGAAGCAGTTTTGACATCTCAGTCCCTCACCAACCCTCAATAGAGATTAGCCAATTCCAAGCTACACATGAAGCAGCAAATTTACCCATTGGACTAGTAATCCGATTGACTACAAATTGGACATATTTCAGAAGATCATTCAGGGTATCATCGCCTATACATATTCAGCATAAACCAAACAAAACAGCTACACAGCAACCAGCAAATGCATTAACATCAAATCAACAAGCAGCCAACAAATAAGCATCAGATCTCAATGATGTAATCCTTACAGCGGAGAACTATATGGTAGCTCAGGACTATCGAAAACAGCTTTGATCAGACACCAATCAGAACAAATATCACCAGGAGGCAGCGCCAAGGTACACCAAATGTGCCATTAGCATCCTTGAAGAACGCCAGTCCCAAGGTTATCTCTCGTAAATCTAAGTTTTCGGAATGATATCAGCAGAGAACTTTCATGTTTCAGCTTCAATTGCCACTTACTGCAACAATCTCAACCACTTCACAACCAGAGATATTCAGAAAATTGGAATCATCAGCTTGAGAAAAACACAATAGAATATTACCAATAAAGAGAAAATTATTCAGGGCTAAATATTAAAGGCAATACAAAATACATCCTAATTTTATTTCTCAGGTATAGATTAGTAGAACGCACAAACATTTCAAGCATGGCCCTCAGACAATACTGATAAACAGGTGGGCTTTAGTTTTCTAACCCGACAGTAAGGAAAAAAACACATGCTCTATGAACCACGATTGGAAAAGCCCCGACCACGACCTCGATTAACATAGCCATACCCCCTTCCATAGTAAGAACCTCGAAAACGGCCACCACGAACAGGCCCACGGCCTCCTCGACCACCCCGGTACCTTGAGAACTCGCCAAAGGTCTGCACCCATGAAACATGTAAGCATATTGGAAAGAAACAGCCATGTCTTGGGGTATCAAAGTCAAAGCAGTACATACCTCTGTGTCTATCTTCAATTGCTCAGAGAACCTAGTCCTTCCATTATTTGGATCATTATCAAGTGCAGTGCAAGAGAGGGAATCGAAAAAATCATCCTTATTATAGACTGGCTGCAGAACACAGAGCAATTGTGCGTAAATAAGGAGAATCTTCCTCTTGCAGAAAAAAAACAGATATAAAGCAGTGCACAAAATGGTAACCGACCTTGATCTCAAACTTCAGTAATTCAGCGTCATCTTCATATTGAGAATCATCATCATCATCACTGCCTTGTCCATCTCCTTCTTTATCCTTTGACTGGGACTTGCTACTTTTGCCAAGATGACCCCATACTTCATCCTTGTTGAATTTCTCATTCATTGCCATAAAATCAAACTCCTCAGTGAATTTTGTTAGTGGACGTGAAATCTGCAAGCAAAGTGTTCAACATTCCATGTCGTAAAACTCCTAACCATATCAGGCTATCTTTAACCAACAAATACATAATATACATTTGCCAAGAAGAAGTTCCAAACTGTGCTCAGAAATTCAATCAGATTTCATCACTCATCAACACAAAACCATTACAAAGACGAAACGTCGAGACCACATCTGTTCATCCATGACAGCTTTAAATTAGAGGGTGTGGGAAAGGTCAGCTAGGTGCAGAACTAATCTTTGGCTTTATAGACGCCAAGTGACTGCCCTCAAAGTTCCAAACACTAGGAGGACCCCATTTTTTGATTAAGCTTTCTATGGGAAGCTAACCAATACCCATTGCTTGGGCCTTCACCTGGGCCTGTAATGGCGGGAGTCAGAACTCCTCCCCAATGGACAAACCCGATCCATGCCCACTCACAGTAAGTAGGCAATGACCCCTACTTAATTATTTTAGGCCACAATTAAAAACTATACCAATGCCACATGATGTTGATAAAACAATAACAAATTGTACAATTACAAGGAACACTTGAGATCCAACAACGTCCTGCTTAACCACCGCAAGGGCATCCTAATGGGACAAGTACCCTTTCAAGTTGACCAGGTGAAGATAAGAAGGATATCCCTCTTTCTCATTTTTCAGATTCAAACTACAGATGCATACTCAACAGACGTGGCACACAACCTATCAGCAGCTTCTCAATTGAAATCCTTCTAATACAATCTCAAAAATAATCCCATGGAGAATTGAACAAATGCAGAACTTAAGAATTGCAGTAAACAATCGTTGAACACGCTACACTTGCACTGTTGCCCAATTCATGGAACTATGGAAGGCTTCCAAAGAACATGTCCATGCAAGTCTTAGTGTGAACTTCTTTTATTTCATTTATCAACAAGTTGAACCAGAGGAATATTTGTCTGAAATGTTTGAAATCCTCCGATATTCAGGGATCAACTCTCGCTGGCAAGCATCAGCTTGAATATATTGTGGGATCACTAAATAAGAATTAAAAGGGTGAATTTGTCCCTTTCCACTACCGTAAAACCACTTCATATTTTAAGGAACAAACGTGCAATTTTGAAGAATCATTTCCTGCTAAGATGTTTTATTGAACAGGGGTACCATTTAGTACGAAAACCAAACAGAAAGCATCATGTCTTATCTTTTGTGCATTATGTACATTGCCTTACAGGATCATTTAAAACAAAAATGCATGCATAACTCAATTTCCGAGAAATTATAGCATATGGACCCCACAAAAGAATTATTCTGTCATTAGATGTCCCTATGGTGTTGAAGGCACAGGAATTTTTCAAACTTTTGTCACATTGCTCTGTTCAAAGTGGAATTTACATTACTGACCTTTACAACAAAAGAAACATGATTTTAAAGAAGAAAAGAGAACATATGTACAACCACAGAAATTCAGGCAGTATAAAGAAGAGGTTGTCAACTTGGTTGAAATACATATTCATTGTTAACTTTAATACGCAAATAAAATAACAAATTACCCCAGTTCCTCTTCCTCTTCCACTTCCACGGCCCCTGTGGTTGTAATGAGTTTGAAAATGAGCTCCATTCGGCTAGAAAATAAACCAAAAAAAGGGAAGAACCTAAGTCAGAATCCCCATTTAAAACTCAATGCTTAACAGACAAAATGAAGCAATTTACTGAAAAATGCAGTTTAAGGACGTTGTACAGGAATGCGACCTAAGAAGATTTTTGTGTCACACAGATTTGTAAACAGAGCATATAATAAATACAATTCAAAATATCACTTGATATTTTAGATGTTGCCCATGCTAATCTGGTTTTAAATATATCACCTGTTCCCTTCACCATTTTGTGTCATTGCTTAAGGATCAATCAAAATGGAGGCATAAAATGCATCAGAATACTAAAATTGATTATGAAAGGCTTGTAACATATTGCAACTCCTCAACAACAAAATACTGGCACAGAAAAATAGTCTACATGCATTGCCTAAAAGCATATGTCATTAAAATTACATCAAGCACTCAGCTCAGCTATTTCCTGTACTAATGAAGGCTTAACAATATATACAATGCCAGACAAGGACAGTTATCGTGACAGAAAGAGGATAGGGTGTGAGATTTTCCATTTCTTTCTTAAGTTGGGGGTTAGGCGAAAAAGTGAAAGGGGCAATAATATGAGAGAAAACACTAATGTTTTCCTAATTAGGTCAACAAATTAGGTAAGCAAATTAGGTCATACGTTTAGGTGAAAATATCATTACTCTTGCCAAGTAATGATGTTGGGACCTAATTTATTTACTTAATTTGTTGATCTAATTCACTATGGCCTTTGAATTGATTATGGACCCCTTCTAACATTGGAACTTGATGTTGATTCAATGACTGCAGGTATTGAATACACTTGGTAATTTATTCATAAAATGTACTTGATAATGAATGACTTAATAACTGCTTAATGTTATATAAAGATGACTCTACACTTATCAGGATACGTGAAAACGATAAGGGAAACCAATAACGTAGTCATATTCTCATGTACTTCTGCAACTCAAAAGTTTTAGTGATACTAATTCAGCTTCAGTGATAAATTTTCAGTCTTCTCAGACAACCTTTATGTTCCCATGAAAAATGAAGGAAACCCTTTTCCGCTTCTCTAGAAATTCAACTCCAAACGAGAATCGTATACAATGGAAAAAATTTTTGGTAAGAAATACAAAGGATCATTCTTCTTCTTGAAAGCATGCAATCTAAAAACCCAAAACATACCAAAGGGGAAAAATAGTATAAATTTATCAAATCAATAAATATAAGAGAGAAGCACCTTTGGGACACGTGAGTTGGCGGTGTTGGCAGTATTGGGGGCTGAGCTTCTCCTACAACTGGTGCTGTCGGCTCTGATGATGGAGTTGGTGATACTTGAACCACCTCCACGTCTTTGTGAGCCATTTGTGAAGACTGGGACGAAGCAACTGCAGCAGGTCCAGACTTCAGCAGTTGACCTGGGGTTACAAGTGAAGGGGTGGGAGTCTCTGCTTGGATTGAACTGGATGTCCCGGCAACAGTGGATATAGGCTGCGACATGGTCTTGATATGGCAAGGGTGGACCAGGAACTGCACTAGGCTTGTTCGAGATTGGAGGTCCAATTGCATTTACATCCAGAATTGGAGTAGTCAAGGGAGATAGTGGCTGTAAGCTAACACTTAATGCTGCTGTAGGAATAGCAGAAATTGGAGCCTTGTTTGGTATCATGCTTGGTAATTTTTCAGAAGATAGCATCCCAGGTGGCACAGGAGGCAGAGTCGAAGGCAAAGTTGAAGGTGGTAAAGAACTAGTGGTTAAATTGAGGGAACTGGTACTAATGGGGACCAAAGGAGAAGAATATTCTGGCAGGTTTGAACCAGGCAAGCTAGGAGGTCCGATTGGCAAAGACGCATTGAAACCAGAAAACTGCATAGGCGGCTGCATGGAAGGAGGCATGGTCAGTCCAGGCGGTGGCCGAAGCAAAGACTGTTGGTGCAACTGAGGGAGCCCATTAGGTGGGCCATAGAATCCTTGCCAATACATTGGCATAGCAAGCCCAGCACCATTTGCATTTGGAGGTGGTGAAGGCCCCCAA